TTCGCTTGTACAGAATGTACTGTGAAACGTCACCTACGAACGACCTTGTATTGCATTGTGCTCGTGATGTGACTCAAAACCTTGTCCCAGCTGACTTCGCGTTTGACTTTGTCCTCAGCCAATTTGTGTTCTTTTCGCGAAAGAAACTATGGCGTGGAATAGCGTGCAGTATATTTCCCGAACAAGTCAACGATTGGTGCCAATGCATGTATGCCACCTTTGGAGCCGGCCCCTTCGAGCTCGTTGCAGGAATTGGTCTTGGCACAGATCAGGATATCCAGCACTGGAAGGGTCATTTTGCACTACCTTCAGTACGGACGATTCAACGTCGCTTTGCCAAAGTAGAATTCGAGTGTGGTATATCCGACGCTATGTTCAACAACGCCGCACAGCACTTCAAACGCAACCAGGCAGCAATTGGTGACCAAGCTACGTGATTTGGTTATTTAGCGTTTGACGAGACTGACTACGGGGTTGTATCTGTACGACGAGATTTAGCTGGATCAATTTTTGGTGTGGTTGATTTTGGCCGCAACGAAGTGGACATCGCAATTACCCCCAGCTCTGTCCATCACTTGGAAAGTAGATTGAACGATATTGAGGCGTGCTTGCTCGAGTATGGGTTGGACATCCAACACTTTGCTCCAAACAAATCCACATTTCACGACCCCGACGACATTGCAGCATTTTTGTGTTTGCTGGTCGACGAGGCGCACTCGATGGTTGGTCAAATCGACACCAAGGTCAACGACAGGCTCAAGCTCATTGAACGAAAAAAATCTCAGGCGGGAGAAACCGCGGATGAAAGAATGCATCATTCGATGGAGCGAGCTGTCAACCGTTTGCAGAGCAAAGCTGACACCATGAAACGCAACATGCACACAGCTATAGTTTGTTGGACCACATCGCCGAAACGGTGGCTTGGCTTCGTGATGGTGACGAAGCTATCATCTGCGATGATGCAGTCAAATCCAAAATGTCAGGGGTTGTGGAATCTTTCCGAACAGTGTTCATCAACTTGTCGCTGCTGTGTTGTGCGGTCCAATCGACAAAGCTCCAAATTTGGCATCTCAGTGACAGTCAACGCATGTCGTCATCCATGATCATGTGTGTGTTCATCGATTCGGTGCGGTCAGAAACAACTCAGCTTTTTGTGAGCACTTTGGTGGATAAGTTAGCCACACTGGACGTCCCCATTGCAAACGTCAGTTGTGATGGTGCGAATCACGCTGTTGTTGTCAGAGGCTTTGAACGACCAGTCATTGTGTCTGAAGTGTGGCGAACTTGCTCTGCGCGAGCCAATTCCTGGAAATCCAAGAGCGTTGAAAAGTCGAGTGTACATGGATAGCGACGAGAGGACTTGGACCAAGAGTTTTTAAAGTACGCTACACTCTTCTTACTTCAGCAGCGATCGGAGCCTGGGCTACTGCGTGGTGCACCATCGTCGATCAATCACTATGACTGTCCCCAATTCGATGAGGAACTGTTGCAGACAGATGAGTTTTGTGCATTTGCATCGATTGCAATCGATACACTCAAAACTACCTCGCCGACGTGGAACGAAGAGCGTTTAAACCTTGTGGCTATGGTGGTGGCACATCTCAACGTTCGAGGCAAAACGCTGAAAATGTTATCGTCAACGAAAATGGCGTGGTTGACGCCGTTCTACTTAGACGACGCGTTGTACACGTACCTCGACACCGGTGTGGACTTTTATCGCCATGTGTTTGTGCCCGAGCGTAATCCATCCATGCCCCACATTGTCCTTACTCGAAACATCGATCCTGATCATGTATTGAATCGATTCGTAGCACACATGTCAACGGGCTGGGCGACTTTCTTCAACTCCAGTCGTGGAAAATGCTCGGCGCGACGCACCCAAATGTACTTGGAAGCTGGTGGTACACTACACGCGACGTCCAAAACGTTCCAAATGCTCGACTATTCTTTTCCAAAGAAGTCAGTGCTACATCGACGCAACTCGGTCATGTAATGGAAGCTCACTTGTTTGACGTGTGGCGCAACTTCTTTGCTGTGTTCGACGAGTCTGGGATCAGTGACGTGGCTCGTTTGGAGTACATCGAAACCTTTTTGGCATGGTTGGATCCAATCTCAAAATCCGGGCTGTATTCAAAACCCATGGGGTCGCATTTCCCTAAAATTGGTGACGAGTGCACATCGTCCTGTCCAGTCCAGTTAATCGAAGCGCTGTACATCATGGCAAATGGATATCTGGCACGGTGGGAAAACGCCTTGGAATTGTCGATAGATATTACTTACAATCCAAACGGCAGCATCGTTTCCGGATTGGCGCTCTTTAATGAGCGGTACGCCGCGTCCATGAATATCGAGAGCGCTATATCCATCTTCAA